CATTGTTTCTGCTAGCCGCTTACACGTTGTGTTCTCCTGGAAGACGCTTTCATTTATTTGTCTAATTACTACCTTTAGGATATTGCAGGCAACAAGGATCTTCCACACAGGGAAGCCAAGTCTTGCCCCTGTACCACCTCTCCCTGAATATGGAGGGAAAGTTCGTCTTGGGCTGATCCCTGAGGAATTCTTCCAGTTCCTTTATCCTAAAACTGGTGTCACAGGTGAGCATTTGTCCAGTCTTTGATAGAATGTCTGGATGATAGCACGAAAATCAAGTCAGCCCTTTTTAAAAGGAATTGTGGGGCCGGCGCCGTGGCTCAATAGGCTAATCCTCCACCTCGCGGCGCCGGCACACCGGGTTCTAGTCCCGGTCGGGGCGCCGGATTCTGTCCCGGTTGCCCCTCTTCCAGGCCAGCTCTCTGCTATGGCCAGGGAGTGCAGTGGAGGATGGCCCAGGTGCTTGGGCCCTGCACCCCATGGGAGACCAGGAAAAGCACCTGGCTCCTGGCTCCTGCCATCGGATCAGCGCGGTGCGCCGGCTGCAGCGGCGGCCATTGGAGGGTGAACCAACGGCAAAGGAAGACCTTTCTCTCTCTGTCTCTCTCTCTCACTGTCCACTCTGCCTGTCAAAAAAAAAAAATAAAATAAAAATAAAAGGAATTGTGAAGGTGATTCAGTATAACAATTAGTTTGATTGCCCAGGCTTACTCTAAGTTTGTTTGAGATTGTAACTTAATTTTATAGAATCTGCATTTGTTGATAACCAGTTTTTTAAATGCCTGCTCATGTGATTCTAGGTATACATTGGTGAACTGAGCCCCTGCAATATTTATGTCTTAAATCGTAAATCGTAAATCTTGGTTTGTGTCCTTTCAGAACTCATAGCCTGGTTAAAAATAACCATATTTGAAACATTGTTAAATGCTACAGGAGTTGAGAATCTTGATAATTAGTTCTTCCTTTTGTATCTGTGGCTTTACAGTCGTTTCTTGCTTATCAGGGTACTGTTCAATAAAAGTAGACAAGGAGTGGCTCAGTTTTATCCTGTCCAGTGTTCCCATTCAGTCTTCTGTTTTGCTAGAGGAGTCACCAGACAGTAACCTGACATCTCTGCAGGCGGCTCCTGGGGAGCTCTTGTACAGCCATGGTTTCTCAGTTTCTTCAGCTCTGAGGAGGGCACTCTTCCCATTTGTGGAAACTGTTGGAGATCGTTGGATTGCTCAGCTTATAAAGTACAGAATCAGGACACAGGTTTCCTTGAGTCCAGTTCTGTGTCTCTCAATTCTGCCATATTGTTGCTCAGTCTGGTGTTTGTTCTTTGAATCTGATTATTCTAAATCGTTACTTAATATTTGCTTTCAAACAATCAAATGCAAATGTATTTTTTCTATCTTTGCCTTTTTAGGCATAGCATACCCATTTGTAAAGTAACTCTTTCTTTTTTTAGGACCCTACATGCTTGGAACTGGGCTTATCTTATACTGTCTCTCCAAAGAAATATACGTGATTACCCCAGAGACCTTCTCCACCATATCAGTAGTAGGGTTACTTGTATATGTAATTAAAAAATACGGTGCCTCAATTGGCGAATTTGCAGATAAACTCAATGAGGTAAGAACCGTAGACCTTATTTCCCATTAGACTGTAGCAGAAACACCAGGGCCATCTAGTCATGCATGTGTTGCAGGGAGAACATACAGAAATGAATCTGATTATAACAACTATAAGCATTTATCAATGTGTGCTACTAATTTGAGATACACCTTACAATTTTTCCATAGCTTTATTCACTAACAAGACCGTGTAGCTAGTATGGGCAATTCTTTTTAAGGATTTGTGTCTTTTTCCCTATAAGTGGGTGGTCTCTGTAAATGTATTCACAGATGACAGATACGGTGTTGAGGAAGCATCATATGAATGTTTTTCTGTTATCGTTGGTGCTCTCACTGACCTTTGTTGCCTGTGTCATAATTGCAGCAAAAAATCGCTCAGCTAGAAGAAGTGAAACAGGCTTCCATCAAACAAATCCAGAATGCAATTGAACAGGAGAAGTCACAGCAGGCTCTGGTTCAGAAGCGACACTACCTTTTTGATGTGCAGAGGGTAGGTTTCAGAAGATTCTAAGAATATGGATATTCATTTATGTACATTAGGAAAAAAATCAGAATTTCTTAGAAGGAATGGTTAAATCGGTTGAGCATACTCTATTTAGAAAAGAGGTGTGGGTAGAGGTTGGGAACTGCTGCTACTGGGACATTTAAGAACTGTCAATAGGAAAATAATTGTGGCTATCCTAAAATTAGAAACTGGAAATTTTTAAAGAATCCACACAAAAGAAAATTATCATTAAATTATAGCTGATGAGAGAATGGCATGCACTGCTCAGGAAAGACCATAGATGAAATACATACTGTGTAGTTCATATAAACTTGTTATAAGAGTACCTTACTTGAATATTTGCTGTAAGAAAAACTGATAACTTACATTCCAAATTTACAAAGCAAATTCAGATTGCATTAGCATTTATTACGATGGTCAGAGCATAATGAAATTCTAAAGTACTTAGTTTCCAAAATAATTTGTAAGAACATGTTCAGGCCGGTGCCGCGGCTCAATAAGCTAATCCTCTGCCTGCAGCGCCAGCACACCAGGTTCTTGTCTCGGTCGCTCCTCTTCTTGTCCAGCTCTCTGCTGTGGCCCCTGAGTGCAATGGAGGATGGCCCAAGTGTTTGGTCCCTGCACCCACATGGGCGACCAGGAGAAGCACCTGGCTCCTCCTGGCTTCAGATCAGCGCAGTGCGCCGGCTGCAGCGCACCAGCCGCGGCGGCCATTGGAGGGTGAAATAACAGTAAAAAGGAAGACCATTCTCTCTGTCTCTCTCTCACTGTCCACTCTGCCTGTCAAAAAAAAAAAAAAAAAGAATCTACAGTCTTAAAGATTTTTAACACCTGAGTATGTGAAAATCTCAGAAAATGTCAAAGCCTCTTTGCATAGTTAGGTTCCAGGTGCAGAATGTTCTCTGCCTTGTACATGGTGTACACACACCACATGAACACATGCACTCATACACACAGATTCTGGTTGTGTGTGTGACCAAATTAGAAAATGTGGCTTTTTCATGAGCACCAGCTGGTAATGATGTGTTTAGTATTGTTGAATAGATGTTTGTTGTTTTTCCTGTGTGGGAGTTCTTGCCAAAGCAAGGTGCAAGAGGGAGTAGTTAGTATTTTGTTGGGCAGTCAGGAAAGCTCTCTCGTGTGCAATTCAAGAAGACACCTGGAAGAAGTGATGGTGTGAGCTGTGGACTTCTGGGAAATAGTGTTCCAGGCAGGGGGAACTACACAGTGGCAAGGACCCCAAGCTTGGAAGTTTGCTTGATAGGCAGGGCACAGTAAGGAAGCCAGCACAGGTGAAGTGGAGCAGGCAAGGCGGAGAGGAAAAGGAGGCCGCTGGGTAGAGGGCCCTGTACCAGTCTCACAGACTGACTTGTAATGTAAATGAGAGTCATGGAAGGCTTTTAAGGAGGACGGGACTTCACAGTTAAAGGATCACCCTGACTGACTGTGGTAAATAGCCTCCAGTTGTGTTTGCGTTGGTTCGAGATACCTGTGTGTTGGCCAAGTAGAGATCTTCGAGAGCATGGGCTTTGTGGCGTGACTGCTTTTTTTCAGACCTTCACAATTTATTAGCCAGGCCAACCAAATCCAAGAGTTTGGAACTCCATCCAGGCCTACCACATGGATAGCAGGGGCCCAGGTACTTGTGCTGTTTCCACAGCTTTCTCAGGCAATTAGCAGGGAGCTGGATTGGAAGCAAAGCAGCTGAGAGCTGAACTGGCGCTCCCAGCATGGGATGCTGGCATCACAAGCAGCAGCTTAACCTACTGCACCACAACGCCGGCCCCTGCGTGCATTTCTAAAAATAATTTTACCATGTGCTGTTAAAACATTTTACTGTGTATATCGTACCTATTCCAATTAAATGAAAGAGCTTGACATGAAATATAAAAAAGTAGTGGTACCTTGTATCTGGCAGAATCCTTGGAGTGGAAATATTCTTTCAAGTATGCACACGACATTCAGCATTTCTTAATTTTGCTCCAGAATAACATTGCTATGGCCTTGGAGTTGACGTACCGGGAACGGCTGCATAGGGTGTACAAGGAGGTGAAGAATCGCCTGGACTATCACATCTCTGTGCAGAATATGATGCAGCGGAAGGAGCAGGAGCACATGATAAACTGGGTGGAGAAGCACGTGGTGCAGAGCATCTCTGCACAGCAGGTCAGTGACGCACTCTCTGGAGGGTACTGGGTCAGACCAGCTGCTGCTGGCGCTGTGCGCTGTGATACCGTGGGAATAGCTGGCGTACGGAGACCTGGTTGGCTTTTTTGGGTAGTGCTATCCTAGAAGATGCCGCACAGCTGCAGTGATGACTTTGCCCTTTCCTCAAAGTTTGGTTACCAAAGGGTCTCTCACCACATAGGTCAAAAACAGTGGAAAGATGGCAGGCCTCGTTCAAGTTCTGTCATCTGGGGTAACATTAAATTTTTTCAATTTCTCTATGGAGTTTAACGTGAACCCCTTCCATTTTTTTTTTTTTTTTTTTTTTGACAGGCAGAGTGGACAGTGAGAGAGAGAGACAGAGAGAAAGGTCTTCCTTTGCCGTTGGTTCACCCTCCAGTGGCCGTCACGTCTGGCGCACCGCGCTGATCCAATGGCAGGAGCCAGGTACTTATCCTGGTCTCCCATGGGGTGCAGGGCCCAAGGACTTGAGCCATCCTCCACTGCACTCCCTGGCCACAGCAGAGAGCTGGCCTGGAAGAGGGGCAAACGGGACTAGAACCCCGTGTGCCGGCGCCGCAGGCGGAGGATTAGCCTAGTGAGCCGCAGCGCCGGCCCCTTCCATTTCCTAGTTCCGTGATTTCCATTTCATTCCCTCTTTCTAGCTACTTAATTTATTGTGAATATTTTATCATTTACTTAAAATTTTATTATTATATTTCATTTATTTATGATTTGATTTCCTCTTTCCCAGATACACTGTACATTTAGGCCTTTCTAGTCATTTTGTTTTCTAATCCTGTGTAGGTTATACAGAAAGTCTGTCAAAGTATGGTGATTTTTTTTTTTTTTTACAAATTTATCTCTTACATTAAAATAATTTGTGTAAGAAACAGAAAATACAAAAATGTGTGGAGTAGAGACTAAAAATTATTGTCATCCTTTCCTAACATTTCTATATTGCTAATACCTGGGGGGTTCTTTTTAAAGCAACTGTTAGTTATATAAGCAAACATTAGTGGCAGATGTTTGGCTTCACATTCTATATAGTTTTTACTCATAGAAGATAAGAGTTGGGGCTTAACTGGTAAAGCCGCTGCCTGCAATGCCGGCATCCCATCTGAATGCCGGTTCAAGTCTCAGCTGCTCCACTTCTGATCCAGTTCCCTGCTTACAGCCTGAGAAAAGTAGCAGAAGGTGGACCAACTGTTTGGACCCCTGCCACCATGTGGGAGACCCGGATGAAGCTCTTAGCTTTGGCCTGGCTTTAGCCCTGGCTGTAGGAATCACTTGTGGAGTAAACTGGGTAGATGGAAGATTCTCTCTCTCCTTCTCCCTCTCCCCCCCCACCCCTTGTAGCTCTGACTTTCAGATAGATAAATAAGAGGGAATTTTAACCAAGTCCCAGGATTTGCTTAAAATAAATTGAATCGTCCCTATGTTAAATAATTGTAACTAATTGATTATACTTCTAAACTTTTCTAAGAGTCTTATTAAGCCAGTAATCATGTCATTCTGGTTTAGTAAAAGACGTCTTTTAGAATTACAGCATTTTTACCCTTTACTGTTCTAGAAAGGTCTAACACAATTTCTCTTTCCTTGTCGCAGGAAAAGGAGACAATTGCCAAGTGCATCGCAGATCTAAAGCTGCTGGCAAAGAAGGCGCAGGCACAGCCAGTTATGTAGTGCACCTGCCCGGTGGAGACTGTTAGAATCAGTTGACTCACCAGATGGAAACTAAATGTGACTGTTGCCCTCTCCTGAAGTTACACTTTATCTTTCCTAAAAGTCAAATTTAGGTTTCATAAAATGAGAGAACTCTTGGCCAGTCATGTTTCTCATCCTTTGTTCTATGTATTTCGAGTTGTTCCGTGATCACGTTTAATGAGCAGTTTGCTTTTATTAAAACATGCTGCCTGACTAAAAGATTACTCAGTTACACTTTGAATTTATAATTAATTCTACCATCCTGCAATAAAGTGAAAATTGAAATATTTTTCAAGTTGCATTATTTTATAAAATACTGCTTAACATTTGTCATATGGGTAAAAATTAAAGATGTCATTGAACTAATACCTTGTTTATGAGACCATTTATAGCTAACTGATAAATTACACGAAATTTAAAGCTTCTTAGTGTTCTTGGAATGTTGTATATCAAACATGTTATTGACTTGTTGCCATCTTGGTAATAGAGCCTGAAAAGGAAATTATAGATTCAGTATATCATAAAGTCGCTTCTGAGAATCCAGCAGCTATTTCTCAGAATCGGAAAAGAGCACATATTGACGAGGATGTGGAGACATGGAACCTTATGCATTACTGATAGGAATTTGAAGTGGTGTAGCTACTGTAGCAAGCTGTGGCACAGTGGCTTAAGCCACCCTTTGGGATGCCCATATTCCATATCAGGGTGCCTGGTTCAAGTTCCAGCTTCCTCACCTCCAATCCAGCATCCTGCTAAAGTGCCTGGGAGGCAGGACATGATGGCCCAGGTGCTTGGATTCCTGCTGGGCATGTGGAATGGAGTTCCTGCTTCTGGCTTCAGCTTGGCCTAGCAGCTGTTGTGGGCATTTGGGGAAAGAACCAACAGGTAAAAGGTCAATATCTCTTGGGGCTGGCGCCATGGCTCACTTGGTTAATCCTCTGCCTGCGGTGCAAGAATCCCATATGGGCGCCGGGTTCTAGTCCCAGTTGCTCCTCTTCCAGTCCAGCTCTCTGCTGTGGCCCAGGCTGCACCTGTGTGGGAGTGTCTGGCTCCTGGCTTTGGATTGGCGCAGTGCCGGCTGTAGTGGCCATTTTGGGGGTGAAACAACAGAGGGAAGACCTTTTTATTTATTTATTTATTTATTTTTTTTGACAGAGTGGACAGTGAGACGGAAAGGTCTTCCTTTGCTGTTGGTTCACCCTCCCAATGGCCGGCGCGTTGCCGCCGGCACACCGTGCTGATCCGATGGCAGGAGCCAGGTACTTATCCTGGTCTCCCATGGGGTGCAGGGCCAAAGCACTTGGGCCATCCTCCACTGCACTCCCTAGCCACAGCAGAGAGCTGGCCTGGGAGAGGGGCAACCAGGACAGAATCTGGCGCCCCGACCGGGACTAGAACCCGATGTGCCCGCACCGCAAGGCGGAGGATTAACCTAGTGAGCCGCGGTGCCAGCCGGGAAGACCTTTCTCTGTCTCTCTCTCACTGTCTAACTCTTATCTGTCAAATAAAAATGGTCAATATCTCTCACCCTTCCTCTACCCCCAACTCTGCCTTTCAAGTAAATAAAAATTTTTTTTTTTAAAAAGTGTGACTTTTAACTGGACAGTTCAGGCCATTAACGTTCAATGTGACTAATGATAAGTGGTAACTTTGCCCTGCCATTTGCCAAAGATAAGTTCTAATATATGCTTTGAATTCCCTGTGATCTTTTGCTGTGAGGTTTCCTTCCTTTACCTTCTTTCATATTGATGACCGTGTTTCTGTGTTTCTGTGTGTAACACATCTTTAAGCATCTTTTGCAGGGCTGGACGAGTGGCGACAAATTCTTTCAATTTCTGTTTGCTATGAAAAGTCTTTATTTCACCTTCATTCACAAATGATAGCTTTGCAGGATATAATATTCTGGGCTGGCAGTTTTTCTCTCTTAGTACCTGGGCTATATCTCACCATTCCCTCCTAGATTGCAGGGTTTCTGATGAGAAGTCAGCTGTGAGTCTGATTGGAGACCCTCTGAGAGTAATCTGACGTTTCTCTCTTGCACATTTTAGGATCTTTTCTTTATGTTTCACTGTGGAGAGTTTAATTACAACGTGTCGTGGTGAGGATCTCTTTTGGTCATGTTTATTAGGGGTTCTGTGAGCTTCCTGTACTAGGATAAGAGGGAAGAGATGTGCAATTAGGGACATGCTCAAGCTGACTTACCTCAAACGGTAGAGGTAGAAACATACCAGGGGATTCGAATTCAATCCCATCGAGGTGGCATGTACCAATGCCATCTCACTAGTCCCAGTGATCAATTTCTGTTCACAATTGATCGTAATGATAGGACTAAGAACCAAAGGGATCACATAAACAAGAATAGTGTCTGCAAATACTAGCTGATAGAATCAAAAAGGGAGAGAATGATCCAACATGGGAAGTGAGATACACAGCAGACCCATAGAATGGCAAATGTCCTAACAGCACTCAGGCCTCAGAATCAGCCCTTAAGGCATGCGGATCCGGCTGAAATGCCCATGAGAGTATTTCAGGCATGGAAAGCCGAGACACTCTGGCGGGGGGGGGGGGGGGGGGGGAAACATAAAATGAAAAGAATCTTCGGTGAGTGAGATCCCAGTGGAAAGGATTGGTCACCCAGAAAGGAGGTACCTTTCTCTGAAGGGAGAGAGAGACCTCCCACTTTGACATGGCTGCTAAATGAACGGGTCAAGGACTCAGGGCTCTAGTCTGGCAGCTCATGGACAAGAGCCTAGGGTGATTACTGATGCCATAAACAAGAGTGTCAATTTGTTAAGTCAACAACAGGAGTCACTGTGCACTTACTCCTCATGTAGGATCTTTGTCCTTAGTGTGCTGTACATTGAGATTTAATGCTATAACTAGTACTCAAACAGTATTTTTCACTTTATGTTTCTGTGTGGGAGCAAACTGTTGAAATCTTTACTTAATGTATGCTAAACTGATCTTCTGTATATAAAGAGAATCGAAAATGAATCTTGATGTGAATGGAAGGGGAGAGGGAGTAGATAAGGGGAGGGTTGTGGGTTGGAGGGATAAAAAAAAAGTGTGAGAGCTCCTCAAAAAACTCAAAATAGAATTAATTGATTCTGCACTTGACACTTCTGGATGAAAAGGCATCGAAGAGATTCTCCCACACCAGGTTCATAGCAACATTATTCCTTACAGCTAAAATATGGAAGTAATGAATGGATAAGTAAAGTGTTATACAATGTATTCATCCTTCAGGAAGGAACTTGGGACAACTGCTACAACCTGGATGAACCGTGAGGTCATTGTGCTCAGGGAAATAAGCTAGTTGCATACACAGAAATACTGTGCGATTCCACTTATGTGAGATGTAGTCAAAATCATGGACGTTAGAATGGTGGTTGCCAGGGACTGGTGGTAAGAGGGGTGGGGATTTATGTTTAATGAGTGAGTGTAGTTCTGTTTTACAAGACAAGGAGGTGAGAGTGGTGATGATTACACATTACGAATGTATTTAATACCACTGAAATAAACAAATGATTAACAGTGAATTTTGTTATCTATTTCATCACTAGAAAGTCCAGCAGATAAAAGCCTAGATTTATCTTTTATACTCCCATACGTGTTCAAAAATGTGTATGCTTACTTGAATGACTAAGATAATAGAAAATATTTGAAAGAATTTGACAGTCATTTGGGTCAGTATTTACTGATGGCTAATGTTCCAGTATAGAAATGAGATGGACATTTTTGTCATCACCTAAGGAGATTTTGATTGGGTCATCAGATTATTTAATTATTCATCTAACAATATTATAAAACACCTGGTTTGTGCTCAGCTAAAGTCTGTCCCTCAGAATTCTGCTAGACAAGAGTGCAATACCATCCCCTTCAGCACAGGGTGCTTGGGGAGTATGACAAGCAGCATTAGGTCACCCACCAGCCCCTCATTTCCCGGAAGAGACTTGGGATCAGGAGGGTTCAGTCAGGAGTGGAACTTCTGGGGTGCGTGTATGTTTGTGTATAAGGGATCCAACCACCTTATCATGGGAGCTGGTTGAGCAGTCTCTGCTGCTTTTGTTTGTTTTCTGGTGCTGAAGTGAGTCCACCAGGCAGGCAGTTAGGGAAGGGAAGATGGATATAAAGAAGATGTGCAGATGAGTAGAAATCACAGCACAGACTGGAACTCAGCGGTTCGGGTGATCGCTGGCCTTGATAGTGTGGTTGTCCTATACAATCCCAGGTTCTTTGTCACAGACACCTAGTCAGAGAAACGGTGACCATGGGATAGGTGGGGAAGTCACCTAGCTGCAACTTGGGAGCCAACACGCCAGCATCTGAGCTGCAAAATACTGCTTCCCACCCACCCTGCCCCCCATCTCACTCAGAAATCTCATTCTGCCACACAAGGGGCTGACTGGCTCACAATGATCGGTAATGTTTTGCATAAAGTACTGGGACAGAGGCTGGTAGGCTCCAAACACAAAAGGAAGTAGAAAGCAGGGGTCCCTGGTTGTGGTCAGTTTTTTGTTTGTTTGTTTGTTTGTTTTTGTTTGTTTTTTAAGATTTATTTATTTGAAAGAGTTACACAGAGAGAGGAGAGGCAGAGAGATCTTCCATCCGATGGTTCACTCCCCAACTGGCCGCAACAGCCAGAGCTGTGCCAATCCAAAATCAGGAGCCTCTTCCAGGTCTCCCACGCAGGTGCAGGGGCCCAAGGACTTGGGCCGTCTTCTGCTTTTCCAGGCCATAGCAGAGAGCTGGATCAGAAGTGGAGCAGCTGGGACTAGAACTGGTGCCCACATGGGATGCTAGTGCTTCAGGTCAGGGAGTTAACCCGCTGGTCAGTTTAAGGGGTGTGTATGTGTTTGTTACTGGAGAATGGCAGGGGCCTTGTCTTCACACAAGAAAGAATTCAGGTGTGAGACAGAGAGTAAGTGGAAAGCAAATAGCAAGATTTATTATGGCAGGGACATCCGTAAGAACGGATGGGCACCTCTCCAGACAGAACCTGAGAGTGCCCAGTCACTTGGACTGGGGGAGAGCAAGGTTACATGGTTGAGTGGAGAGAGTACACCTGGGCAGGCCAGGTGGGCGGCTCAGCATGGAGGCAGAGGGGTGAGCATCCAGTCTGGTTGAGGCCGGGAGTTTTTAAGGGAATAGCTCTTGCCTCCCCACCTCTGCTCTTCCTGGAACAAAGGACTTTTTGGATGTAAACACAAAAAATTCCTTTCTGAATTTTACCCCTGAAGTTATCAGACAGGAGCAAGCCTGGCTGGCATCGCCCAGGTTAGAGGAAGGATGGGCAGGACCCCCTGGAAGATCGGTAGGATGTTTGAAGTGCAGATACTGGGCTGCACCTGGAAGGTTATCAGGCAGAAGGGGCAGGACCGCGCCTGGCAGGTTATCAGGATGACTTTGAGGTGCATATGCTGGACCTAGATGTCAACTCTTTAGGCCTCTGTCACACACACTCATATCTGACTTCCTACCTAACATGTTGAAAAGTTGTACTGTATTCCTTAAAAATGAGTAAGTATCATATATTACTCCAAGATTTAAAATTGTTTTTTTAAAAAAAATGTCCTTGCAATGGCCTGGGAAAGCAGAAAATGGCCCCAGTGCTTGGGCCCCTGCACCCAAGTGGGAAACCTGGAAGAAGCTCCTGGCTTAGGATTGGTGCAGCTCTGGCCATTGTGGCCAATTGAGGAGTAAACCAACAAATGGAAGATCTCTCTCTCTCTCTCTCTCTCTCTCTCTTTCTCTTTCTCTCTCTCTCTCTCTCTGCCTCTGCCTCTGCCTCTGCCTCTGCCTCTCTAAGTCTGCCTTTCAAATAAATAAATCTTAAAAAGAAAAAAAGAAAGAAAAATAAATTTGTTGAGTGGCTGCAGAACACAGAAGAATTGGAAGATGAAGAAAACTGAATGGTTTACCAAGCACAACACCCAGGGCACCACTCAGCATTCTGATTGGGAAAGCTGACCCATGTGGGAAGAGAAAAATAAAATAAAATAGGATAGGCTTCCCTTGTGCCCAGGGGAAGGGGGGGGGGCATTGTTTTTGTTTTGTTTTTCAATAAAGCCTTGAGTCATCAACTGTTAAACCTGGGCCTTGGCCTCTCACTCACTGTATGCTAACAAACGCAGCCACCAGGGAGTCCCATGGGAGCAGGGAGCTGCAGCTCAGCACTCTGCCACTCCTGGTTTTTAGCCATGTTGTTCAGGTACTGTGTGGTGAGCGCCCCCTGGTGTCTGTCACAGGCCTACTGTGGTAGTTGATCTGCCCCAGTATGTGACTGGACAAACCAGTTTTTTTTGTTGTTGTTTGATTGTTTTAAGATAAACCGCTTAAAAAATAAATAAATAAACTAGAAAAGTTGGGGCCGGCAGGTTAACCCGTGGCCTGCAGCACCAGCATCCCATATGGCCGCCAGTTCGAGTCCTGGCTGCACCACTTCCAATCCAGCTCTCTGCTAATGTCTGGGATTGCAGAGGAAGATGGCCCAAGTCCTTGGGCCCCTGCACCCATGTGAGAGATACAGAAGAAGCTCCTGGCTTCAGCCTGGCACAGACCCGGCCGTTGTGGCCATCTGGAGAGTGAACCAATGGATGGAAGACCTCTCCCTCTATCTCTCCTTCTCGTTCTCTAACTCTGCCTTTCAAATAAATAATCTTAAAAAAAAAATGAATGACAGAAAGAAACGAAAAGGAAGAAGCTGGAAATGTGAGGATGCAGTGTGAAAGTTTTCAATGAGGGAACAGGAAGCTCATTCAACATTGATTTGTTAAAAGCACACCATGGAGGCAGGTGCTTAGCCTGGCAGCTAAGATGCCCACGCCCCACAGCAGAGTCCTGGGTTTACTTCCTGACTCTGGCTTCTGTCTCTAGTTTCCCACCAGCACAGACCCTGGGAGGCAGTGATGTTGGCCCAAGTAACTGGATTCCTGCCACACAAGGGGGTGACCTGGGCTGAGTTCCCAGCTCCTGGCTGCAGCCCCTTCATTGTTAGAACTACAGTAAGACAAGGTAACATCTGTCCCCAGAGTTACAGTCTAGCAATCTTGACACTGAGTAAGTGTTTCTAGTGCCCAAATGTGAAGGGATTGAGGAATGCAGACAAAGTGGATTTAATCTAGTACAGGAGATCATGAAAGACCTCTAGGACAAGTTATATTTCAACTGATACCTGAAGGATAGGGAGATCGCCAGAGAAAACAGCTTGTGCAAAGGTCCTGAGAACTAGCTGTCCAGAAGAACCAGTACTATCTACCACTCAGATCCAGAGCTCTTCACAGGACCTGGGTGTGTGCACCCAGCTGCCCTCTAGACCTGTGCACCTGGATGCTTTCTGGGCACCCCAACTTCAGTGTGTCCAAAATTAAACTCGTTATTTATCCCCCGTCCTGTGTTCTCAGTATCAGTCCGTGGACACAGTGGGGGTAACTGGTGGTTTGCCCAAGCTCCTCTCTCTCCCTGACCTTCCTCTTACGCCGGGAAATGAGCCCATTCACAGCCCAGGTGCTCGACCGCGTCTTCCCCATGGCCATTGTCCCTGTTCAGGCCATTGTTGGTCACTGTCCGGCCGCTGATCCGTACCCCTACCCTCTGTTGGTTAAACCCACAGTGATCCCCTTCTCCTCTTCCGCTGTCTCCATTGCCATAAGGGAAAGTTTGTTCAAGATCTACCACTCTCTGGGCTCCTCCTTCCCTCTAGCCTTGCCTCTTGCATTCCCCACCCCCGCCCCGTAGGATCAGCGGCAGTGAAATGCGCGCATTTCCCAAGCACGACCAACATGGCAGAGTATGTCCTCTGTCTGTCCCTCTGTCTGCCTGGAAAGTGTGATTCAGTTTTCAAGACGCAGCTCCAGCGTCACCTCCTCCAGGAAGCTTTGCCTGACAGCCACTCCCCCTGCTGACTGTGTAGCCCGACTTCTCTGTCTTTTGGACCCTGCCCCATCTGTACTGACAACATAGCACCCACACATTTCATTACACTTACGTGAGACTGGCCAGCTTGGAACGTGGTGTCAGAGATGAGTGGTGATAACGGTCTCTGCAAGACTGAAATCCTTCAAGCCAGGGACCGGACCTCGCTGTTTCCTCTCCAGAACGTATCAGAGCATCTGTGTCACAGCAGACGCTCCACAAATGTCTGACTGATTAATTCTCACTCAAAACCGCAACCATCGCTGTTTCCTTCTGGCTCCGCTTCCTCCTTCTTGCCCTTTGCTGATGTCTTTGATCAAGAGTCTTGACCCCTCTGTGTTCCCTTGCGTCTGCTGCAGCTCTCCTGAATACAGTCCTTGGAATTCACGGGGGTCGGTTCCAGGAAACCGGTCCTCACTCCAGCTATAAAGTCCGTGGATGCTCGAGTCCCTTATATAAAAAGGCATCATACTCGTGTATAACCCATGCACATCCACCTGGAAGCAGTCGTACTTCAACTCGCCACGGAAATACGTTCTGAGAAATGGCTTGTTAGGCAATGTCACCATTGTGCAAACACCACAGACTGCACTTACGCAGACTAAGATGGCTGTGGCATCACTGACAACATAACCCATGGGACCATTGTTGTCTTTGTCATCTGCCATTGACTGAAGTGTCACAACACAGCACACAGCTGCACTTTAAATCATTTCTACTGACTTGCAGTAATGCTACGTAAACACCAAGTAAACTGCTGTTACACTGTGTTGTTTGCAGAATGATGATAAGGGGAAAGTCTGTGTGTGTTCAGTGCAGATACAATTTCTTTTCTCCACATATTTTCAATCCAGTCGGCTGAATCCATGGAAGCAGAACCCGCAGACGTGGAGGGCTGACCGGTTCCCTCAAATCCACTTCCCTCGCCCCATCTCTCCACGGCTCCCAACATTGTCCAAGTCATTGTCACTCCTGACCTGCTCACTGCAGTCATCTCTCAACTGCTCTATTCATATCTGGCTACCTGCCAATCTGTTCTCTCTGACCCAATCTCAGTGGTTGATCCAAAATGCAAATCCAGGGGCCAGCACTGTGGCATAGCAGGTTAAGCAGTGGCCTGCAATGCTGGCATCCCATATGGACACCAGTTCGAGTCCCAGCTGCTCCACTTCCTATCCAGCTCTCTGCTAATGCACCTGGGAAAGCAGCAGAGGCTGGCCCAATCGCTTGGGCTCCTGCACCGAGGTGGGAGACCTGGAAAAAGGTGCTGGCTCCTGGTTTCAGCCTGGCCCAGTCCCAGTCATTGTGGCAATTTGGGGAGTGAACCAGAGGACAGAAGACCTCTCTCTGTCTCTCTCCCTCTGTAACTCTTTCAAATAAATATTTTTTTAAAAATGCAAATTTCATCATGCTAACATTGCTTAAATACATGCAGTACAGAAAAAACCACTTCTCTAAGCATAACAGTCTCTAGTTGCATCCATTTGTTGTAAAAGATAAGCCAGAGCCCAAAAGACAAATATCATGTTTTCTCTGGTTTGTGGTAGCTATTATATAGAGTACCCAAAAAATGTAACGTGCCTGAGTGAAAACTGACATCTTGAGACTTGATTATGCTTATAGCCCTTGTCCATGCTCCTGAAAAAGAGCGATCTTTCTATGCGCACTTGTTGAATTATTGATTTAGTGGAGGATTAAGCTTGTAATTATAAAATAGAGGAGGCCCACATTGTGGCATAGTGAGTTAAGCCTCTGCCTGTGGTGCCAGCACCCCATATGGGTGCCAGTTTGAGTCCCAACTGCTCCACTTCTGATCCAGCTCTCTGCTATGGTCTGGGAGAGCAGTAGAAGATGGCCCAAGTCCTTGGGCCCCTGCACCCACGTGGGAGACCTGGAAGAAGCCCCTGGCTCCTGGCTTCGGATCAGCACAGCTCCGACCATCACAGCCAATTAGGGAGTGAATCAGCAGATGGAAGACCTTTCTCTCTGTCTCTCCCTCTCTTTCTAACTCTACATCTTAAATAAATAAATAAATAAATAATAAATCTATCTTTAAAAAAAAAAGGTTTGGAGGTCCCGACCCCTTCCTGCGTGCTTGGCCTCATCCCCACCATGTCCCACATATGTCCACCCCCGCCCCTGGTGTCACCTCACCCATCTCCTTGGCCCTCTGGCTACTGGCACACTCTCATTCTGTTTTATTTTTGGTCTTCGGTCATCCTACCCTCCTTTCTGGCACAGGGCTGTCGAGCGTTGTTCTCTCTGAACGTCCCCTCCGTCTCCATCTAGTGAACTTCAGCTCACACTCGAGGTCACTGCCCAAGTGATTTTCCTCCAGGAAGCCTCCCCTGATCCTCCGTGTTCTAGGTGGACACAGCACAGGTGACTGCGGTACTTTACCACATCTTTCTGTAGTAACGGCCTCCTTTACCCAAGTACCACGGAGGCAGGAAGAGACCATTTATTGGTCCCCACAATGTGCTCCAAGCTTCGTGTGGTTACATGGCACATAGTAAGTGATTTCAGAGTGAGTGATAAAACGAATTCTCTCAGTCACTGAGGTTCCAGAGCCGAGGCACTGACTCATCCTGCTACTTTATTCCCCTGGGTCTTAGGTCTGCCTACCCAGGTCTCCTCTCCATTCTTGCCATCCACACCCTGATGAACGACAAGCCAAAGCAGCAGTGATTTATATAGTAATGCCATATTTATAATGTTACCACTCAATCACAAGCCTTTAGTGGTTCCTTTTTTTTAAAGGATTTATTTTATTTATTTGAAAGAGTTACAGAGAGAGAGGTAGATACAGAGAGGTCTTCCATTCCCTGGTTCACTCCCCAGATGGCCACAATGGTTGGAGCTGCGCTGATCCAAAGCCAGGAGCCAGGAGCTTTTTCCAGGTCTCCTACGTGGGTGCAGGGGCCCAAGAACTTGGGCCATCTTCTACTGCTTTCCCAGGCCATAGCAGAGAGCTGGATTGGAAGAGGAGCAGCCGGGACTTGAACTGGCGCCAATATGGAATGCCGGCAGTGCAGACCGGGGCTTCACCCACTATGCCACAGCACTGGCTCCATGGTGGTTCCTTATGTTATCAATAATTTAAATACAGCCACGCACTGCCTTGCTAACGTGGTGGGCAGCTGAGGAGTGAACCTACAAATAGAAGATCTCTCTCTCTCTCTGTCTATGTCTGTGTGTGTGCACCTTTCGGGTAAAATGAAAATAACTAATGTTTAAAGTTTATGAAAAATGTCATTAAAAGACAAGTTTATTTAAAAAAAAAAAAGCCTACTGTAAAACAGTCTGCGTGTTCCCACAACCGAGCTTGCTGCGTCTCCTGATTGCATCAAGAGGTCACGTGCAGTGGCCGTCCTGCGCCAGCTGGGTTTGCGTAAGTGCTCTCTGTGAGGTTCACACAGTGGCGAAACCACTGCACTCACTCACACTCTGCAAACGCCCACCCTTGAACCATGCCAATCACCCGGAAGTACTGCGTTGGCACCTCAGCAGCCAATCCTTGGTCCTGTGGTCCTTTTGCCACGGTCCCTCCCTTTCCCATGCATCCGAGCTCTACCCATGCTCCAAGCCTTCCCCCACACCCCTCGCCCCCAGCTTAAGGTTTACCCGGGTGCAGCCTGCTGGAGTCCCCGGCTCCGCCAGCTCCGCGGGCTGCTCTCCCCTCGGCGGGGCGCCACCCTCTCTGCCCCTCCTTGTGTGAGTGTCTCAGGGCAAGGACTGCCCGGTCACTCGCCCCCATGAAAAGTGGACCCTCGGGCCGGGTACTCTGTCTCTTTCTCGGTGTCTCAGTCATCTCTCTTCCACTTAACCTTCATTTCTCAGACAGAACCACTCTGTCTTCCTCTCTGAGAAGCCTGCAGTGGCACTTGGCCCATAGCTTTTATTTAACAGGTGCATTTATAAGATTATTTCAAGAATAAGTTTTTGAAGACAGGTGATTAGATTTCTCCTCAAAGGATTTGAAGTCTGCACAATCGGTACTTGACACTTAACAGTACTTTCTGTTTTCTTTCATCAGCCTTATCTTTCCGGTTAGAACAGGTGAGGGTGTATGATTCCTGATGGCAGATAGAATGTCATACTGCTGTGACCTCCACGATATCTGGCAGAGAGTTCAAAGAAGCAATACTTGTTACCTAGTGGGTTAAGCTGCCGTCTGTGATGCCGGCTGCTCCACTTCCGAGCCAGCTCCCTGCTAACACACCTAGGAAAGCAGGCCAGGTCCTTGGGCCCCTGCACCCATGTGGGAGACCTGGAAGAGGCTCCAGTCTCCTGGTTTGGCCTGGTCCATCCCTGGCCATTGTGGCCATTTGGAGAGTGAACCAGCAGGTAGAAGATTTCTATCTCTCCCTCTCTCTCTGAAACTCTGCCAATCATTAAATAAAAAATCTTTTTAAAAAATTAATACTTGGCCGGTGCCATGGCTCAATAGGCTAATCCTCCGCCTTGCGGCGCTGGCACACTGGGTTCTAGTCCCAGTCGGGGCGCTGGATTCTGTCCCGGTTGCCCCTCTTCCAGGCCAGCTCTCTGCTGTGGCCCGGGAGTACAGTGGAGGATGGCGATGGCCCAAATGCTTGGGCCCTGCACCCGCATGGGAGACCAGGAGAAGCACCTAGCTTCTGGCTTCCGATCAGCGCGATGCGCTGGCCGCAGCGTGCTGGCCGCAGCGCACCAGCTGCGGCAGCCATTGGAGGGTGAACCAACGGCAAAAGGAAGACCTTTCTCTCTGTCTCTCTCTCTCTCACTGTCCACTTTGCCTGTCCAAAAAAAATTAATACTTAATTAGAAATAATAACTCATCCTCTCCCCTTATATCTGGTATTCATGTCTCCAAAGATAGACAAGAGGCTCTTTTTGCTTATAGGGTTAAAAAAAAAACAAGTATGTCTCATTTTATAAATATGTTTCTGTATGACATGAAGCTTTTCAAGAGGATTTGTGCATATATTACACTTATTAAATAGATAATGCCTGTTCAAAAAAAAAAAAAAAACATGTCCTCAAAGAGGAAGTCTGCCCTGGAGCAGCGTGATGGTGGCAGAGGCAGGGACAGTCGTCTTGATTTCGTCACTTCTGGGACACAGAAGTAACTGGAAGCCAATGAAAAGTTCCTTCTGAGGCAACCGTGTCTTATGATCAGAGTTTTTCTTAAAAGGTGCATGCATTTGCAGCCTGCTTCCAGTCTACGAAAGAATCGGGCCAAGAGGGGAGGTCGCGGCACCATTCTCACTCCTTCTTCCTACTCGGTGGGCGAAGTTCGGGTTGCAAGGACCGCCCTTAGACGCGGGGTTTCACGGCCGTCAGTGGATTCTCCAGTGCTGGGTGAAAGAGATGTCTTTATAACACCGGTTCCATCTGACCTCATGCCTCAGGCAAACGTTGCGACCATTGTTCTGCTTTCTTCTGCCTGGATGTGTAAGTAGCAGTTTCCCTGTGATGCTGGTTCAGTCTCCAGGCTGGGGTGGCCCACGGGAGCCTTCTGGGGGGCTGGTGGCAGGGTCAGGACCAGGGATGGGAAGACCAAGATTCTACGGAAATCATAGTCCTCTTGTCCTCCTTGTCCCCAGTGAGCTGGTCTAATCCACGTTCCTACTCTGCTAGGTACACACCTCCATTTGCATATTTTTAGCGCGTTATTTCAATTCCTTATGATGCTCCACACAGAGCAGCCTTGACCTATACATTAGAAAGGGAACCAAAAGTGCCAGGAAACAATGTTGCCAGTGTGGATTCTGCTGTGGGCTTCCTGACTTGGTGGCTCCAGCCACTCGCTCATTCTCCTGTTAGCACCTTGCTTAGTCCCAGCCTCCAGCATCTGGAAATGCTGACACACTTCTAAGATGCTGGATCCTGGTGCTGTTGCTGCTGCTGGGACCACTGCTTGGCAATGAGGCTTTTTCCCTCCCAGCCTGCCCCATGTTCAAGGACTCGGAAATTTACTTTTGAAAGATGAGCACTTCCAGCACACAACTGATGGCATTTGTTGTCTAAATAAAATTATTTTAAAGTGCAGAAGAAATAGCTCAGCCAGAAACTGTCAAGATTTTTAATAGTGCCTACATAAAAAAATTAAAAGTGTGGCCACCTAAAAAATAATCAGGGGTGCATACAGTTTCAATGTCTGTGCCATTGTTATTTGTTTAAATTAACACAGAAACCATTTGTAAGTAGGGACTGGCTAAGATGAATATAGAGCAGTTCCCCCTATCCATGGTTTCATTTCCTGTAAAGAAGTAGCTCAGTCAAGTTTTAGAAAATGCATGCATGTATGACCAAAAGGAAAGGCACGGAAATATTAACAGTGGGTAGGGACTTGGGTAATTTTACTTTTCTTTTACATACTTTCCAATTTTTGGTGAACAATAACTGGCACAGGAGGGGCAGTATAGAGGGCCAGCCACAGTCTAGACAAGGCTATTGGTGTGTAAGCAGAATAGAAGTGTATGGTCCGTGTCAGTGAAAGTTTGCCCAGCACTGCCATGGATGCGTCAGTTCTGGGTGATGGTCAGCCTTCAAATCACCCACTTGTCTTCTCTCATACTTATCTCTGTGCTTACCGAGCAAAATCAGGGTTTCAACTGGCGATCTTACACGTGCTGGGAGGTAGAATGCCCCAGCTACCTCAACGTGTTCCTTCTGTTCCAGTTCATACATCAGTCTCTTGTGAGTAAAGTCGATGGGAATCAATTCTGGAGCCATCATTCAATTCTTGTTGCCCAGATAGGATCAAATTTGTATACCCGCCCTGCGACAACCACACCAGGTAAAGGCCCTGACCAGCGGTGGCACCAGGACACCCTGACTCGCATCCCAGCGCCGGCTCAGAGTTAACCCTTCGCTGCCTCTCCTTTCCAAGCTTTCTGCGAGGCCCCTTTTTCGTTCCCAGGAGAAGACAGCATGGGAGGAAGTTGGTCCACACCTAAGACCAGTACGGGTGAGTTTGGAACAGGGACCGCTACCCCCTTGTTGCTCAGTTAGAGTGAACTGGGCGCTGTGGACATTGTGCTGCGGGCTGTGGTGGGACCACACTGGCTTGTTCACTTCTGAAACTGGAAGGTTCCGTCTCCACAGTGCATTCTCTGACACTGGGAGGGCTGAAAGGCGGGAGCAGAGAGAACGTCTTGGCCCTGCACTTCTGAGTGAAGGCTGACTCTGGGCTGGGTATTCCCCCAGCTGGACAATTCACATGACTTGGAGCACGGCGCTCACTGCTGCACTCTTTGTGGTGCGGGCCCTGGGAAGAGCACCGTGGCTGGGTTTGGTGAGAGGCGGTCAGCACTCGCCCTGCACACCAGCGGACAGAGGCGGCAGAAGCTGCCAGCATCGAACACCTAAGGCCTTTGGGAAGACTCTCTCCGGGTTTCCCTTTGTCTCTCTACTCCCTGGCCCCCGGGACTCTCTGCTGAGGTCCAGGGGAGATGGCTCCCCAGGGCTTCCTACCAGTCTATGAGGAGGGAGACGCGTGAGATGCTTCATGTGTGCCTGCCAGGCCTTAGGCTCCCTTTCCACTCGTGTGGCTGCTTGTCTTACCAGTTCTGTTCTTGCATTTTAAAGAACCCAGAGTCCAAGAAACAATACTCTTCCCCCTGCATTTTTGTTTTTAAAGATTTTATGTATTTGAAAGGCAGCATGACAGAGTGGAAAGGGAGATTTCCCACCCGCTGGTTCACTCCCCATATGGCCACAGCAGCCAGGGCTGGGCCAGGAGCCAGGAGTTCCCTGAGGTTGGAAATCCATTTGGGTCTTCCATGTGGCTGGCAGGGGCCCAAGCACTTGGGCCATATTCTGCTGCTTTCCCAGGCCATAGCAGGGAGCTGGATCAAGTGGAGCAGCGGGGACTCCAACCAGCACTCATACGGGATACTGTGTTGCAGGCAGTGGCTTACCCCGTGCACCACAACGCCAGCCCCTCTTCTCCCGCTTTGTAGAGCTGCAGCCCCGCCGTGACTCTCCCCTGGTTGCTTGATTGGGGTGGGGCCCCTGGGACTTTACGCTGGAAGGACTTGGTGTATGCGAAGTGGCAGATACACAAATCCCTTCCACGTTCTCCTGCAGGCAGACAAGCCATGCTGTCCACGGCAGCCCCAACGACAAGCCCTGCGGCCTGTCTCTCGAAACAGCCCAGGTACATGAGCGTCCTCTTCTCTGTACCGTATGGCATTCGATTTTGATTTTGAGTTGGCAGCTTTGGTCTGGGGGCTTCAAGGGTGGGGGAGGCTATGGAGAGAAGGGACCAGAAACAATGCAAGACCTACATCAGCTCTACATCAGTGATCCTTCAGTTCGTGTCTCCCAGGCTTCAGGAGATCCATGAATCCCCTAAGCCTATAAAACTTGCTGTTGGGAGTAAACGTTGTATGTATGGACAGGGGCAACGGTCGGGGGCGGGGGAGTCATCCACGGCTCTCACTGAGCCCTCCAACGCTCGAACGGACCTGGAGTTGAAGGAAGGAGCTGAGAACCAGGGGTGAGAGTAGAAGTCGGCTGAGCTGTGTGAGAGCCAGGCCGGGGACTCAGCGGCAGGTGGGCGAGTTCTCACTCGGAAAGGCCCTGCACACAGCCCAACAGCGCACGTGCTCCCCTTCTCTGCCAAAACAGCAAGGAATATTTACTCTTGGCCTTTTTCGTTGGGATTCTGCTGACACTGCTACTGCTGGCCTTTGTCTTCCTCATCATAAAGAGCTACCGGAAATGTGAGTGGTCTCCAAGGAACGGAACAACCTTCCCTCCCTGCTGCTGCAAATAGTTAGCCGGGAGTGCAGACGAGGGGTGCAGGTGGGCTGGGAAAACGCGCTTAGCCCAAGCTCAGTGCAGACGTGGGACCTGAACCCCTCCACGTTCCCTCCTTTCTGTCCCCCCATCCTTCACCCAAGATTGAAGGCAGAGGCTCCACCCTGCCAGGCCCCACTGCTGAGCCTTATCCCTCTTCTTCCTGGCACTTGTTACAGGTCACTCCACTTCCCAGGTCCTGGATCCTCATTCAGATCCTCCAGCCAAGGTAAGATACCCACGCCAGCTTTTTTTTTTTTTTTTTTTTAAGATTTATTTATGTATTTGATAGGCAGATCTACAGAGAGAAAAGGAGACACAGAGAGAGAGAGGTCTCCCATCCACTGGTTCACTCCCCCAAATGGCTGCAAAGGCCAGGCCTGGGGCCAGACCAAAGCCAGGAGCCAGGAGCTTCCTCCAGGTCTCCCATGTGGGTGCAGGGGCCAAGCACCTGGGCCATCCTCTACTGCTTTCCCAGGTGCATTAGCAGAGAGCTGGATTGGAAGTGGAGCAGCTGGGACTCGAACCGGCATCTATCTGGGATACCAGCGCTGCAGGTGACTTAACCTGCTACACAGCGCTGGCCCCTCCCAGATCATTTCTGGGACCCTAGAGGGCTGCGCCCATTGGAATGTCCCTCTACACTTGACACTGTCAACTGGAATAGTGGTATTGCTTTCTGGACCCTAAGCAAGAGATTCTTTGCAGAGTTCTTATATCTTTGGGTCCTCTCTGACCAAGGGTTTCAGGTTGCTTCTAAAAAGACATCTTTGCTCCAAATTGAACTCTTTAGTCCTGCTCTTCACCCCTCTGCAGGTTTCCTCGACCCCAGATGAGTCTCTCACCTACGCAAGCATGACTTTCAAAATCTCAGAAGAAAAACGCAATCACTCGACTGAGCACCGTTCTGCAGACCTGGAACCCGTTGTCTATGCGCAGATCAATGTGGCAGACGCACCCTGCCTTTCCAGAGAGGCTTGAATCCAGCCCCGCTCAGCCCAGCCCACTTTCCCTTTGTTACAAACGTGGGATCACAGCCTGCGTGCAGCTGCAGTCAGAGCTGTGGAGGCGTGGCCTAGCAATGCCATCCAGCAGTTCTGAAGGCCAATGACCAGACTGTTCCTGGCCTGAGACGAGGCTGTCGGCCTTCACTCTTGAACTGGCACAGCTGGTTAGCCACTTGAGGACCACACCGTGTCCTTTGACGCTTTTTTCTAATGTATGTGGTACAGAGCTCAGGGCACAAAGAGTATTCATCAACTTGGGTGGGGTCAACCAAATGAACCAAGAACTTCAAATAAAGGCAAACCCTCCGCAGTGTTGATTCCATCATTTATTTGTCTGTCACTGTCGCCTTCTCCAGAGTTCAGAAATCCTGAGCTCAGCCACAGCCTAAAACAACTAGCAGAGGTGACGGTATTCTGGAACAAGCTTGGGATTGGTTAGTGTGCGGGTCTCATGCTGACCAGTGGTATTTACTTGGCCAAGCTGGTCAAACACTTTGAAACCTTAAATCCTTCTTCTTCAAACAGGAATAATAGCACTCACCTCTTAGGGACAGAGGATTAAATGGCATGTTTATACACAGCATCCCAGAGTCCTACGCAACAAATGCAAGGTCTCTATTGGGTACAGAACTATGCAAATGTGAATTTCTTTCTTCTTGCTACAGCATACGAGACATCCATAACATTAGATAAGATTAATGTTAATGCCCACAAATCCCAATGGATAATCACCTAGACAAACTCATTAAAAATATCAATAAGGGGGTCAGCGCCATGGCTCACTTGGTTAATCCTCCGCCTTGCAGCGCTGGCATCCCATATGGGTGCCAGGTTCTAGTCCTGGCTGCCCCTCTCCCAGTCCAGCTCTCTGCTGTGGCCCGAGAGGGCAGTGGAGGATGCCTCAGGTGCCTGGGCTCCTGCACCCGCATGGGAGACCAGGAGGAAGCACCTGGCTCCCGGCTTCGGATCGGCGCAGTGCCGACTGTAGCAGCCATTTGGGGGATGAACCAATGGAAGGAACACCTGTCTCTCTCACTGTCTATAACTCTACCTGTCCAAAAAAAAAAACAAAACCAATAAGATTATTCACATTATTCCTATGTAAAAAAAAATAATAAAAAAGAAGTACATCCAGAATATATAATAAAAGTAATGTAGGGGGTTGCGGCACCATGCGCAGCTGCTAAAGCCACTGCCTGCAGTGCCTGAATCCCATATGGGTGCCGGTTTGAGTCCCAGCTGCCCCTCTTCCAATCCAGCTCTCTGCTATGGCCTGGGAAAGCAGTAGAAGATGGCCTAAGCCCTTGGGCCCCTGCACCCACGTGGAAGACCCGGAGGAAGCTCCTGGCTCCTGGCTTCGGATCGGCACAGCTCCAGCCATTGCGGCCAATTGGGGAGTGAACATATCTCTCTCTCTCTCTCTCTCTCTCTCTCTCTCTGCCTCTCCTCCTCTCTCTGTGTAGCTCTTTCAAGTAAAATAAATAAATCATTTTTTTAAAAAAGTAATATAGGAAAACTAGCCCTAACAGCTAACTCAAAGTCCCTCTTTTATTCAGCACTACTAATTAAAGCAACATGCTAATGGTGCACAAGTCAATAAATCAGTGAAACAGAATAAAAAAGACAAAAGAGACCAAAGTACATAGGGACACTTAGAATATGATGAAGATGCATTTCAGATCAGTTGGGAGAAATAAATGGTGTTGATACTTAGGTGGTCATGTAGATGAAAATAAAATAGTATCCACAGCTCACTCCTTTTATCAAAAGAAATTGAAGATGTCTCCAAAATTAAACCCTAGCCTTTCGGTTCCCTGAGCACCACCATGGTGGTTGGCAAGAACAAGCCCCTTAAAACCAAAGGCAGCAAAACGCCAAGGGGAAAGTGGTTGATCCGTTTTCTAAGAAAGATGGGCATGATGTGAAGACACCTGGTATGTTCAATATGAGAGACACTGGAAAGCCTCTAGTCACGAGGACTCAAGGAACGAAAAATGCATCTGACGGCCCAAGGGTCATGCATTTGAAATGAGTCTTGCTGATCCACAGAATGATGAATTTGCATTTAGAAAATTTGAGCTAATTAATTATTGAGGATGTTCAGGGCAAAAACCGCGTGACTAACTTCCACAGTGAGGATCTTACTCGTGACAAAATGTGTCCCATAGTCGAAAACTGGCAGTTTCAGACTGAAGTTCAAGTTGATGTCAGGACTACCACTGGCTGATTCTTCTGTGTGCATCTCAGACACAGAGGACTTAGGCTTAGCACCTATAGGTCGGCCAAATCCCAAAGATGGAAATCCTGACCCAAAGGTGCAAACAAATGACTTGAAAGAAAGTGATCATTACTGATTCCAGGCAGCACTAGAAAAGACACAGACAAGGCTTGCCAACCTGTCTGTGCTCTCCATGACGTCTTCATCAGAAAAGTAAAAATGCTGAAGAAGCCCAAGTCTGAATCGGGAAAACTCACGGAGCTTTTATGTGAAGTGCTCCACCAGGAAAGGCCGCTGGGGAGGACACAGGTGCTAACATCGAAAAAGCTAGTAGAGCTGAGCCACAGGTCAAGAATCCGTTTAAAATTCAGACTTTCAAAGGGACCAAAAAAGGTCCTAGTAGTGAAAAAATGTTCAACCATAAAAATATCCCTGAAGTTGCCAGGAAAAAAAATAAGGGAGAATTTTAAAAATAATCCCAGCATATCATGCCTCTGAATCTATGACCCAAAGCCCAGAAGCCAAACAAGAATAACTTGACTTGTAAAACACCATTAAAAAGTTGACAGATGACAAGCTTGGAAAACGTTTGAAAGTTTCTCATAGACAAGGGTTTAATTATCTTCATACCCACCAGGCACAGCTCCCTTAAGGGACTGGTTGCTGGAGCACAGGGCAGCCATTACAGAGAATGAGGCTAAGATGGTGGAGACACGCCGCTAAATGAGAAGTGCAGGCTGCTGAGCGGAATTCTGAACATGCTCTGCTATGGACAGTACAGAATCCACCAGGGCGCTTCCAAAACTGCATGGAAAATACAGATCAAAGAGAAGCTTATTTTGGTGCTCCCCAAAATCGAAATCCACTTGCACAAGTGGTCTCTTAAAAGTTCATGAAAAATTGATATTTTAAAGAAAAGAAAAATGTGCATAGAGGTCAAATGCGTGTAGTGTCTCTCTGGGAGAAAACACGGCTAACTGCTCCTACTGCTTGCCCCTGAGGAGGGGAACTTGGCACCTGGAGGTCCCGGAGTCAGGGTCGGGAGGGAAGTGTGCTTGCTCTTAAAGGCTTTCTTGCAGCCTTTGAAGATCTTTGTTTACCTTGTTGAGGGTTTTCCGAAGACCCAGTGCCCAGTGTTCCCATTCCCCAGCTGAGTCCTGAACCGATGAAAAGAAAGAGGAGACCCAGCAGATGGAAGCCCAGATATCATGTTTATCATGAACACAGTCAGCACCAGAGAAAACCGCTTATACCGTAGCTGCAGACAAGCGGGCTTCAAAGCACTGGGCTCCATCCCGATTCAGCTGGACCACAGCAAGTCTCATCCCCTCCTGCTGCCCCTTCCCGGGGTTCAGCCTGCCCCTAAGGGGTTGCAGAAGAGATCCTGTGTGCTGTTTGCAACCTGTACCCAAAACACTAAAAAGGGGAAGAGGAAGGGGCCCAGTGGGCACGCCCAGTTCCTCCTCCCACGGGGAGCCACTGGGGAGCATTGTCCTGAGGGGCTCAGACTGCAGGGAAGTGGGAGAGAAGCAGCCAGCACAAATCTCGTTTGGAAACACAGTAAGAAAGTTGAAGGAGATGAAATGATTTTCTCAAAGCCACACAGCTAACGGAACTGAAGTTTCAACCAAGCCCTCCGGCTTCCGAGTCCTGTGTGCTGCCCCACAGCGTCTTGCCCCACAGCACTCAAGGTGGCAGGGGGACCAGAAAGGCAGGTGACGCGGCCGGCCCAGAAGAGAGGCGCGTTCTTCCTGAGACACAGCAGCAGCTCCCGGCAGCTGGAGTTTGAGGGAGAACCCAAGGGGAGGGGCTCTAAGGGTGGGAGGGAACAGGTGCAGGAGCAAGGCGGGTTCACACGCAGAACAGCCGGCCGCAGGAGGGCGGCAGAGCCCCGGGAATATCTTCTCTGGGCTGGCTGTAGGAAGCACACACAGCTCCCAGCTCTTCCAGAACGCTGCGCTGACCGCGGTTCCGCCAGCCCTGAAGCTGCAAGCCACATCAGCCTTCCGGTTCAGGGCCTGCGCCTGATGAACAGAGTGCAGCACAAGTAGGCGCTGTCTGTGGCCATCCCCTTGCCCAGGAGCTATCGAAGTCATTGGCCTCCCCTTTGTTGTCTTGACGCTTTCTGTTTTTAATAGCTGAGTCCTAAGCAAAGTCCTGTATGTTGTCTCCCTATTGTGACAACTGGTGCTTGCAAAAAGAGTCACTGAATAACTGACCACAGATCCAAAGGGTCTTAGCTGGGTAGGGACAGGACAAAGCTCTTAGATCCTGGACCACAGAATCGGAGCAAACTTGGAGGGGAAATGGTTTTCCAGACAGCGTGATGGTACATTTCCCAAGACATCTATACATGGCTTCACCTGTCGTGGGAGATCCTTGTCTGCCTTCCTGCCTTGGATCACAGGATGTCCTAACAGAGCTGAACTGTGCCATTATTACTTGCAGAACCAATGGGCTGGTGACCCCTTTGCATAAATTCAACACAAGACCACAAGGAGGTATGTGTGGGGTGGGGGGAGTTGTGGCTGAGGGAACACAGAGCATGGTTGGTGGTGTTTGATGAGAGACTCTGTGGTGTCCGCAGCCTCCCCCCTTCCCTGTGGCAGGGTGTTGAGCTCCCTGCCTTTGGAGAGAGGAGTTAGGGTGGAAGCTGCGGGAAGTGTGTTCATGAAAGACTGCATGGCAATCTGGATCCAATCGTGCAGGGCACATGTAGACTCTCTGCAACAGCCAATCTCCCTGCCCCACCCCTGCCCAGCCCAGGGGGCCACTTGTGGATCTGGGGGCCCCCATAGAATAGACTCTAGTATCATGAGCAGGGTCCCTGTGAAGGCAGCAGGGGCAGGGCTGGGGGAGGCCCTGGGAGGTTTCAGAACTGAGGCAGAGACACCACAGAGGGGGGGACGTGCGGGTGGGAGCGAGAGTGCTGGTAATTCTGGCACGGAAGACAACATAACCTCACTCACACCCACGGCTGCGGATGCGCAGGTCTTGTTTTGTGTTTCCTCATCTGAAGGAATATTTTGCCCAAGTTATCACCCCTTGGCTCCCCACTGGTCATAGCAGCACCGCTTGGGTGCGGTGGCAGA